GGAAGGAACTGAATATTTCATGTGTAAGTAATGGTATCACTGAAATTAATGCTTTAATTGGTCTCAAGATGCTTAGGCTAACCCACCCTAACCCCTGCACTGAAGCCCTCCAAGCCTTCTTCCTTGAAGGTCAGCATCCCTCCAAATGGATTACCGAAACTGCCAATGTGCTCAGAATGTATAACTTTCATCACCCCTACCAAGAGAGACAACAACAACACTTTCCTGCCCCATGGGAGATCACTCCTTTCCAAACTACTGTCCCCCCTTTCCCACCCAAGAAACTGATTAAAGAACAAGCCTTGCTTCGACAAGAAGCAAAGTACAATGCCTTAAGCCAAATTGATGCTTTAGTCAGAGAGCGCTCCCTTTCCCAGATTATTTACACTGATGGATCCTTGCATCAGTCCTACGGTGCAGCTGGAAGTGCAGTTGTTGTGACAGGGAGAGATGGTTCCTTCTCCCATGAGTGTGGAGCGCGTCTAAGTAACTGGGCCTCCACTCTTCAAACAGAATTGTTTCCCATAATCCTTTCACTCGAGCGCGTATATGAATCCAAAGTTGACACGCTAATTGTAAGTGACTCCTTGTCATCCTTGACAGCCCTCAGCTCCCCAAGGCATAACTGTGACGTGCTTGTCTCTGAAGCTAGACACAGATATAATGAAATAATCAATGATGGAGTCAGAGCCTGTCTCCTGTGGATGCCTTCCCATATTGGTCTCCGAATGCATGATAGAACTGATGAGTTGGCCAAGACTTTTGCTCGTTAAGAGGGAATTGATTACCAACTTGGACTGCCTTTGAGCAACCTGAGGGCAGTAATATTCCGGGAACATCAACTAAATTTCGGAAACTTGAGGCAAAGTGAAATTCACACCAGTTCCTCCATCTATCATCATTCTATTATGCAAGAAGTACCACACGTCTATGGGTCATCCAATAATGTTAGCAGACTTGTAGATGTTACCACTGCTAGGCTTAGGCTCGGCTACAAGTACCTCTGGGAGTTTGTAACATCTGCTGATGTAGATTTGACTAAATGTAAACTCTGTCAGCAGAACTATTCGCATACTTTGCGTTATTATATAATGGAATGCAAAAAATCGCTGAATTTAGAGTGTCCAATCATCAATTGGACACCCGTTTGTAAACTCATGCTACAGCAAGAATCTAACTCTGCTATTTGGGGAACATGAAATTGAATCACAAGAAGGTGTCCAACAGGGTGACCCCCTTGCTCCTTTTCTTTTCTGTCTAGTTATCAAGGAAGTCACCGATAACCTGTCCAGTGAGCTCAACATTTGGTTTTTGGACGACGGTACTCTAGCTGGCTCCCCAGACTCCCTCCTGGATGACATAAGAATAATTCAAGAGCAAGGAGCAAGCCTAGGCCTCACCCTGAACTCTTCCAAGTGCGAAATAACCTCCACCAACCAGCACATAATAGAGCAAATAAAGGTTGTTTTGCCTGACATTCATACAACCAACCCTGAGGACAGCACACTCCTAGGTGCTCCTCTTGGAAGGAATGCCATCGACGGGGTCCTTGGTAAGAAGATCACTGACCTGAAGAGGATGAACGAGAGGATTGAAGACATCGATGCTCATGATGCACTTTACCTCATCACCAGATGCTTGTCCCTCCCCAGGCTGATCTACTTTCTAAGATGTTCGCCATCTTTCAACAATATTAAATTAGAAGAGTATGACAGCTTGCTGAAGTCAACACTAGAAAAAGCCCTCAATCTTTCCCTCAGCGACTTACAGTGGAAACAGGCCTCCCTTCCTGTCAGACTCGGGGGCCTTGGCGTGCGCACAGCAACACAAATTGATGTACCAGCGTTCCTGTCCTCTTCAGTGGGGTCTGACAACTTAGTGAAGGAAATCCTACCTGAGCACCTAGTTCAACAGGCAGGGGTACATGATCCCAGCTTCACAGACTGCACAACCAAATGGGTCTCTCTCGCAGGACCAGCACCCCAACCACCGCCTTCTGAAGCCCATAAGCAATCCAGCTGGGATCGCCCCATTGCCGACCAAGAAGCTGCGACTTTGCTAGAAGCTGCGACAACACCACATGACACTGCCCGACTTAGAGCTGTAGCAGCTCCCCATGCAGGTGATTTCCTATTAGCAACCCCAATGTCAGCAACCGGCACCCGTCTCACACCGCAGGCCCTCCGAATTGCCGTGGCTCTCCGCCTCGCTGCCCCAATCCACACCGAATACAGGTATATTTGCGGCGAGGCAGAGGCCGACAGGTACGGACGGCATGGCCTTCTCTGCCAAAGGACAGGAGGATGGCATGCAAGACACGGCGAGGTCAATGACATTATTAAGAGAAGCCTTACCACAGCCGGTTGTCCAGCAGAGAGAGAGCCCCGTTACCTAATGTCCCGCAACTCTGATGAGCCTGTCGGTCGCCCAGACGGAATCACGGTGAACCCCTGGAAGAATGGTAGACAGTTGGTGTGGGACTACACTTGCGTTTCAACTTTAGCCAATACCTATGTTGACTTCAGTGCTACACAAGCAGGAGGAGCTGCCAATCACCGGAAAGCGGCCAAGTCACGTAAATACAGAGACCTTGAGCACCACTACAATTTTGTCCCCATTGCCTCAGAGACACTTGGTGCCTGGGGCATATATATATATATATATATATATATATATATATATATATATATATATATATATATATATATATATATATATATATATATATATATATATATATATATATATATATATATATATATATATATATATGTTATACGCGATACTAGAGCACATGGGAGTAGGCACTATCTTTACATTTAAAATAGGAGCCTATGGTATTTGTATTCACAAACATAAATCATCTAAAGTCTAATTGAGCATAGCAATGCTGCAGAAGTTTCCTCAATCGACTTCTTACAGAAAAACTATTGGTGCTGTAAAAGGATAATTTGTTGTATTTAATATCCCTTACTACAGTAATAGTCGTATGATGATGAATACCAGAAGTATTCGAAACGTCATGAATTTTATTTAAAAGTAAAGAAGAGTTTTAGCAAGATGTTTGTTATGTCAGTAGTTTACCTATTCATTTTGATTTTAAGATTCCCAAAGGGACATCGATCATAAATATTTCATTAAAACGATACGGAAGACCGGTAGTGACACTATACAGGAGATTAGACAAACTGGATTTCGCGAATAAGAAGGTAGTTCTGGATTTTGAATTTCTGCAGACTTGTAAGGTTCATCTTATGGTTCCAAGATTTCTCAGGTTTAAAGTGTATTCCTCTAAATTTGTGGAAACAAGTGAATATAATTCTTGGTTGTTTAAATGTCTGAGAAGCATAAACGGGAGATGAAGTTGAAAACTGAATTGCGTCTTCCCTCCACGGCTGCAGGGTGGCTCCATCTGGACGTTTGCGACTGTTGTCAGGTCTGCACAACTGAGGTTCCCTTTCTGCTGGACACCCAGCTGTAGCCAAATTTCTCTTGATGATGTCACTGACTGCTTCATGTCTGGCAATCTTTCACGGTGACTTACGACAGATGAGACCATGGCTGCCGTATATTGGTCTGTCGACACAGCCGCAGATACACCGGTGTTCGGTGGAGATAGGGGCGGCAAGGTGCAGGGTAACACCAATATGTAGGCCCCGATGGTTCAGGCGGGTGGCCAAGGCGGATTAGGGACAGCCAACAGGAGATCCCCTGTTGTAAAATAGATCTATATTATACAAACTACAATTATAAATTGTGTTTTGTATAATTTAGATGAATTTTTGATTGATCAGTTAAAGAGCGATATGAACAGGAGCATTGATACACATTTTTGTCACTAATACCTTATTAGTATCCCCTTATCTCATTAAAGATATTGTATTAAGATTAAAAAGATAATAAAGATTAAAGACATTGTACCTCACCTCACGTCACCTCTTTCCTGCCTATATATTCAACCTACTGAATTGTAAATCCTCACGGGGGAGACATCTCCCGTCACGCAGGGTGCAGTCGCACCTCCACAGATCTCCAGTATCATCTATTGATACTGGTGATGGCTCAAAAGGGCCACCACTTACGGGCTATTCATGCCCGTGCCCCCTTTTTGGTGGCTTAATCTTCATCAATCAATCAATCTGTAAATCCACTTTCTGAAGATGTATTATTAAATACGAAAGTACTTAAGGAAATCCCTGTTTTAATCCTTCCTTCGTGGTCTGACACTCACATTGTTCACTGCGTGTTAATTTCTTCCTGATTTACACTCACCCGGATAATCGGAGCCTCGAACTCCACCCATCTGGACAGCAGGTCGGTACCTCTGAAATTGGTGCAAGTCACTCCTTCCCTTTACTGGACTAGAACCCGGACGAAATCGTTTGCGAGATGCGCTACCACTACGCCACAATGGCCTCTGAAATACTAGTGACATAATGCCGTGTAATCAATATAATGCAGAGAACTTATCTCTGAGAGCTATAGTTTGCGAGGCCCGTTCTCGCGGGCGTTCCCAGCGTCAAGAAGCTCTCGTTCTGAAGTGCCTTTATCCTAACCTACCAGAGGAATCACTAACAGAAAACGGGACGGTATGTCAATTTCGCGAGCCGCTACTATTTTCTAGTACGATAGTTTTTGGCCTTAGGTAAAGTATGCGTATAAATGCGACCCGTCCTCCTAATAGAACGTCGCATTTTGACGTATACTTTATCTAAAGCCAAATATTTCCGTGCTAGAAAATGGTAGCGGCTCGCGAAATTAACATAATGTCCCGTTTTCTGTTTTGTGTCCTCTGGTAACGTACTGTAAGGACACTTTAGTACGACGTTGTTAAACCTTAGGATGGACGGGCTGCCCGGCTGAGAGCTGTCGTACTCTGAAAAGTGGGCGTTGCTTCCGAGGAACGAAGACCCAATGAACACGGATGCAAGTGCCCGTCCTGTAAGGGGGCGTGGATGGCCAGAGTATATAAAGACAGTGAGGCGGAAGGCAGCGTACACACGAGACTTGGACGGCAGCAGGCGACGGACGCAGGGACGCCTCCCCCCAGAGACGCGGTACAGTACCCAATACACCCCCGCCTGTGCCTGTCTCCACCACACATCATACACACAGGCAAGTCCACTCTTCCATACATCGACCAGTCCACACATTTCAGTATTTTCAAAGGAGATTATTCTGAATGACTGAGGCATACACAATTCAGTATACAGGAAGCTGTTGGTTTTGTTTTATAGTAGATGGGATACCCGGCAGAGCCCGGGGTCTCTCTCTGTCTCTCCCCTCTCCTCTGTTTCCCCCTCCCCTCGTCTCTCCCAGTCTCCCCCCCTTTCCCTCAACATGCCCCCCACATCCCCTCATTTGTTAGCCTTTCCCCTCCTCTCTCCTTCCCTTTCCCTCTCCCTCCTACCCACCCTTCTCTCTCTCTTACACATACACACGCACGTGCACATACACACGCACATGCACACACACACGTGCACAGGCGGGTGCACGTGTGTATTGTGTACCACGGGTGGTACACAAATAAGGAAACACACAGATATTTGAAATATTTTTTTCAATATCAGTTAACAGATGGAATGCATCAGACTAATTTGACGAATTTGACTAATTTGAATTTCCTGCTTCTACCCATACCCCCTTGTTCTATTGATATTCAGTGTGAACTTTTCATCTATTTCCACTCTGTCAATTTCCCTTCGTATTTTGTACGTCTCTATCATGTCTCCCCTCTCTCTCTCTCTCTCTTTTCTAGCATCGTCAGGTTCTGTTCCTCCATGCGCTCATCATATCCCATCCCTCGTAACTTTGGGACGAGCCTTGTCGAACCTTCTCCAGTTTTCTTATGTGTTTCTTCAGATAGGGACTCCATGATGGGGCGGCATACTCTAAGACGGGTCTCGCGTAGGCAGGTGTAAAGCGCCCTAAAAGCCTCCTTACTTAGGTTTCTAAATAATGTTCTAACTTTTGCTAGTGAAGAGTACACTGCTGTCGTTATCCTATTTATATGTGCCTCAGGAGTTAGATTAGGTGTTACGTCCACTCCCAGGTCTCTTTCTCGAATCGTCACAGGTAGGCTGTTCCCCTTCATTGTGTACTGTCCCTTTGGTCTCCTATCATCAAATCCCATTTCCATAACTTTACACTTGCTCGTGCTGAACTCCAGTAGCCATTTCCCTGACCATCTGTGCAGCTTCTTCAAGTCCTCTTGGAGGATCCTACAATCCTCATCTGTCACAACTCGTCTCATTAATTTCGTGTCAACCGCAAACATCGATATATAGGACTCAACTCCTTTAGACACGTCATTTACATATATTACAAATATAATTGGTCCCAGCTAGATGTACATAAATCTGCATTAGACATATAATATTCCCTCCTACTTTTTCCCTTTACTGTTGGCATGAGACTGTCTTCGCCCTCCTTGAACCTTCATTTGACTTGGTCCATCATATCTTGTATTGCTTTTCCTCTAAGTTCTTCCTCCCAGTGTACATCTCCCAAATATTCTCTTATCCTCTTGTAATCCCCTTTCCTATAGTCTAGTCTCCTTTCCCAGACCTCTTGCCCCCGTGGGCACGGCTATAAGTATCAGTCATATAGTTAAAGACTAGGACACAGTGATCACTGGCTCCTAGTTGTTCCACTATCGCTATGTCTTCCATGTTCTTAGTGAACATCAGGTTTAATAGGCTCGGTGTATTCTCTTCTCTTTCCCGTGTTTTTCTTCACATGTTGTGTTAGGAAGTTCCTCTCTATAACTACCGCTACTTTTGCTCCTAACGTTACCTCCCCGCCATGTACTAGGTGAGAATCCTGGGGATTCCTAGATTACCAATCGATCTCTCTGTGATTTATGTGTGTGTGTGTAGGTGCTCACCTATTTGTGCCTGCAGGATCGAGCATTGACTCATGGATTCCGCCTATAGTTATAAACATCGGTTGTTTATAACAATGACTCATATCCTATTTCCTTATCATATCTAGTTATAAAATTATGAATAGAGTTTGTTTCCACAACCTGCTCCTTAAGTGCATTCCATTTTCCCACTTTTCTTACGCTAAAAGAAAACTTCCTAACATCTCTGTGACTCATCCGAGTTTCCCGCTTCGACCCATGTCCCGTCGTTCTGTTAGTGAACATTTCGTCTATTTCTAATCTGTCGATCCCCCCTAAGTATATGTCCCTATCATATCCCCCCTTTCCCTTCTTTTTTCTAGTGTCGTCAGGTTCAGTTCTTTCAGACGCTCTTCATAACCAATCCCTCGTAACTCTGGGACGAGCCTCTTTGCAAACTTCTGAATTTTCCAATTCCCTTATGTGTTTCCTCAGGTGGGGGCTCCATGATGTATGTGTGTGTGTGTGTGTGTGTGTGTGTGTGTGTGTGTGTGTGTGTGTGTGTGTGTGTGTGTGTGTGTGTGTGTGTGTGTGTGTGTGTGTGTGTGTGTGTGTGTGTGTGTAATTACCTAAGTGTAGTTACAGGATGAGAGCTACGCTCGTGGTGTCCCGTCTTCCCAGCACTCTTTCTCATATAACTCTTTGAAACTACTGACTGTCTTGGCCTCCACCACCTTCTCACCTAACTTGTTCCAACCGTCTACCACTCTGTTTGCGAAAGTGAATTTTCTTATATTTCTTCGGCATCTTTGTTTAATTAGTTTAAATCTATGACCTCTTAATCTTGAAGTGCCAGGTCTCAGGAAATCTTCTCTGTCGATTTTATCAATTCCTGTTACTATTTTGTATGTAGTGATCATATCACCTCTTTTTCTTCTGTCTTCTAGTTTTGGCATATTTAATGCCTCTAACCTCTCCTCATAGCTCTTGCCCTTCAGTTCTGGGAGCCACTTAGTAGCATGTCTTTGCACCTTTTCCAGTTTGTTGATGTGCTTCTTAAGATATGGGCACCACACAACCGCTGCATATTCTAGCTTTGGCCTAACAAAAGTCGTGAACAATTTCTTTAGTATATCGCCATCCATGTATTTAAAAGCAATTCTGAAGTTAGAAAGCGTGGCATAGGCTCCTCGCACAATATTCTTTATGTGGTCCTCAGGTGATAGTTTTCTATCTAGAACCACTCCTAGATCTCTTTCTTTATCAGAATTCTTTAAAGATTTCCCACATAATATATAGGTTGTGTGGGGTCTATGTTCTCCTATTCCACATTTCATAACATGGCATTTATTAACATTAAAATCCATTTCCCAAGTGGTGCTCCATATACTTATTTTGTCCAGGTCTTCTTGAAGGGCATGACAATCATCTAAGTTTCTTATTCTTCCTATTATCTTAGCATCATCACCAAACATGTTCATATAATTCTGTATACCAACTGGTAGATCATTTATGTAGACAATAAACATCACTGGTGCAAGAACTGAACCCTGTGGTACTCCACTTGTGACATTTCTCCAGTCCGATACATTGCCTCTGATTACTGCCCTTATTTTTCGATCAGTCAGAAAATTTTTCATCCATGTTAGAAGCTTACCTGTCACCTCTCCAATATTCGCCAGTTTCCAGAACAACCTCTTATGTGGAACTCTGTCGACAGTCTTTTTTAGATCCAGATAGATGCAGTCAACCCAACCATCTCTTTCCTGTAATATCTCTGTGGCTCGATCATAGAAACTGAGTAAATTCGATACACAGGATCTTCCAGATCGAAAACCGTATTGTCTGTCTGATATTATATTATTTCTCTCCAGTTGTTCCACCCATTTAGTTTTTACTATTTTTTTCCAATATTTTGACTATTACACTTGTCAATGATACAGGTCTATAATTGAGGGGGGTCTTCCCTGATGCAACTTTTGTAGATTGGAACTATGTTAGCCTTTTTCCACACATCAGCTACAATTCCTGTACACAGGGATGTCTGAAAAATCAGCCGAAGTGGTATGCTGAGCTCAACTGCACATTCTCTCAGAACCCGTGGTGAAACTACATCTGGGCCAACTGCTTTGTTCTTACTTAGCTCCAAGAGCATTTGTTTCACTTTGTCTCTAGCCACCTCTATGTGCTCTATGTTGTTCTCTGGAATTCTTATTGTGTCTGGTTCCCTGAAGATCTCATTTTGTACAAACAGACTTTGGAACTTTTCGTTTAATGTTTCACATATTTCCTTTTCATTTTCCGTGTAACTGTCCCCAATTTTCAACCTCTGAATATTATCCTTTACCTGCAGCTTGATTTTAATGAATTTATAGAAAAGGCCTGGATCTGATTTACATTTGTCTGCTATACCGTTCTCAAAGTTCCTCTCTGCCTCTCTCCTTACTGAGGTGTAGTTGTTTCTTGCATCTTTGTATCGCTGGTATGCTTGGGGGTTTGGTCTCTTTCTATAATGATTCCATGCTTGTGTCTTTTGATCTCTGGTCCTCTCGCAATTTCTGTTGAACCAATCCTGTTTCCTAGGTCTTCATGCCTGTTTTGGTATGAATGTTTGTGTGCCTTCATCATATATTGTGCAAAATATGGCATACATCTCATTTACTTCCTTACCTAGCAACAAGTCTGTCCAATTATACCCATAAAAAAAATTCTAAGTTCCCCATAGCGTCTTCTCTTGAAATCGAGTTTAACAACTGTTTCACGGTCCCCATTCTCTACTAGATTATATCGCATAGCGTATTTAATGTCCAAGAGGACGTGATCACTCTTTCCCAAGGGAGGAAGGTACTGGATGTCAAATATCTCTTCTTCTTTCCTAGTGAATACTAGATCCAGTACTGACGGAACATCCCCTTCCCTCATTCTTGTGGCCTGCTTGATGTGTTGATACATGAATGTCTAAAAGATGAGGTTTACAAATCTGCCTGTCCAAATGTCCACTTTTCTTGCCTCGTAGGCCTCCCAGTCTATTGCCTTAAAGTTGAAGTCCTCCAAGTACCAACAATCGGGATTTATCTTTATCACCTTTTACCATAATCTCTCTCATGACCATTATGAGGCCCTCTCGATTGTTATCCAGTTCTTCCTTTGTCCATGTGTTGCTTGCTGGTGGGCTGTAGGCATTTAAAATTATCAGCTTATCATCTTGATTCCAGACCTGCAATGCCGTTATGTCAATATCTCGAGGGTTTTCAATTATTAACTCTCTTAC